CACAATGGCTAGATCTTTTCTGCCCAGGAAAGGCTACAGCTGGCTAACCAAATGAAGCTGGTAAAAGGCAGTTCTGGCCACTGTAGTAGGCCTAGGTTCAAGAGTACCACCCGACTATGGACTTGTTTGTTCAAGGGGAGTGTAACCCTCTCCATAATGTGTGACACCTTAAATCTCGGGTCAGACTTTCAGCTCGCTAATAGCTCTTCCATCTTGTTGGGATGAAGCTTCACTTTATTAGCCCGAATCTACTCCAAAACTGTCTCCAGGCACCAATTCAGGTTCTCTACAACCTCTCTGGGATCAGCTGGAAGTGCAAGGTAGAAGTGAGCATCATCTATATGATGGTTGCCACCCAGCCCAAATCTTCTGATGACCTCACCCAGCAGTTTCATGAAGATGCTAAACATCATGGGGATAAGATGGAGTTAAGGCCAAAGGCCAAGGGGCTGAGCAGCAGTCCCTCAGCACCACATTCTGAACCCTGTCCTCCAGGTAGGTCCAGAACCACTGCATCCTAGACAGACAGTCCAGAAGGATACCATGATTGATGGTATCAAAAGGTACCCGGAAGATGAACAGTCATACTCCCTCTGAAGAAGGGAGCAGTGACTCACAAAAGCTCATGCCCTGCCAAATATCTTGTTAGTCTTTAAGGTGCTACTGGACTCCTGCTCTTTTCTACTGCTACAGCCAGACTAACACAGCTACCCATCTTGATCATATTCCCTCTTGTTTTAGTTTAGCTGCAAAAAGCAGAAGTGTGCTGATATGGATCAAGTATGGCACTGAGGGAAAGGCATTTTAATTCTTCCAACATCAAACATGATTGCCTTGTCACAAAGCAGCCACCCCCACAGGTTGCTTTAGCCCCAGTGGGCCTTTCCCCCCCTCTTTGAGCTAAAAGCAACCAGGGCGCATTTGAGGGGGAAAACATGCAGATGAAGGAGAAAATTTCCTCCCATTTACTGTGCCAATGTCCTGATCATACATCCCCCATACATGTAGCTTGGTCCCAAGAAAGCCATCTCTTACTACACAGGTGTGTTGGTCATTGTCTTGGACCTCACAGCAGGACTTATCCTTGGCTCATATCTATGTAAACTCTCCAAATAACTTCTTCTACAGGGAGCTGATGGGGCTAAAAATTGATTAAATAATGCATCTCTCTAGTCCTGTGGGGTCCTATATCACACAGCTCTTCTGTTCCTGTTGTGAGACTATTTGAGATTGAAGTGTGCCTGAACATTATGCTCACACTCCACTTTTTTCCTTTGGTTTCCTGCTCCTGTTGGAAGAGCTTTCATTTTTTTCTGCCTTGTGTTTATTCCTGTTTTGTACCAGTGTTTGCTGTATTAATACGTAAAGAGTGAAAGGGAGATACACATATAGAAATACACAGTAGAAATATGCCAGAGAGTCATATACAGCCACAGTGAACCATATAACTGCAGAGCCTCTGTCCATCATCTTCAAGGCCTCCTGGAGGACTGGGGATGTGCCACAAGATTGGAGGAGAGCGAATGTTATTCCTATCTTTAAGAAAGGGAAGAAGGATGACCCGGGAAACTACAGGCCGGTCAGTCTGACTTCTGTTGCTGGGAATATATTACAGCAGGTTTTAAAGGGATTGATATGTAAGCATCTGAAGGACCGCTTAGTGATCCAGGGAAGTCAGCATGGTTTTGTCCCCAACAGATCTTGTCAGACCAACCTGACTTCCTTCTTGGATCATGTGATGAGCTTACTGGATCATGGGAACTCTGTTGATGTGATTTACCTGGATTTCAGTAAAGCTTTTGATAAGGTTCCCCATGACATTTTGATGGGCAAATTGGAAGAGTGTGGACTGGACTATAGGACAGTTCAGTGGATAGGGAACTGGTTAGAGGACCGCACCCAAAGAGTGGTGGTCAATGGAGTTTCATCAGATTGGAGGGAGGTGTCCAGTGGAGTGCCGCAGGGTTCAGTTTTGGGCCCGATACTTTTCGATATTTTTATCAATGATCTGGATGAAGGGGTAGAAGGGCTACTCATTAAATGATACCAAATTAGGAGGAGTAGCAAACACCCAAGAAGATAGAGTTAAAATTCAACAAGACCTGAATATTCTGGAGAAGTAGGCAGTTGCAAACAGGATGTAATTCAACAAAGATAAGTACACAGTATTACATCTGGGCCACAAAAATGTAAAGCACAAATACTGGATGGGGGATACGTTTCTGGGGAGTAGTGTATGCGAAAGAGATCTTGGGGTAAGGGTGGACTGTAAACTAAATATGAGCAGTCAGTGTGATGCGGTGGCAAAAAATGCAAATTCAGTCTTGGGTTGTATTAAAATGGCCATAGCATCAAAATAGCCCCTCTGTATACTGCTTGGTCAGGCTGCACTTTGAGCACTGTGTGCAGTTCTGGAGGCCTCACTTCAAAAAGGATGTGGACAAAATCAAGAGGGTGCAGAAGAGAGCGACGAGGATGATCAGGGGTCTGGAGATTGAGCCCTACGAGGAAAGGCTAAGGGCCTTGGGAATGTTTTGTTTGGAGAAGAGGAGATTGAGGGGGTACATGATTGCTCTCTTTAAATATTTGAAAGGCTGTCATTTGGAGGAGGGCAAAGAGCTGTTCTAGTTGGCAGCAGAGGACAGGACCTGAAGCAACAGGTTAAAACTATGTGCAGAAAGGTATTGGCTGGATATTAGGAAAAACTTTTTCACGGTCAGAGTGGTTCAAAGGTGGAATCAGCTGCCTAGGGAGATGGTTAGCTTCAGCCAAACATATTTTTCCTGGAACTGAATTACAAATACAGTATAACACAATATACTTTACATAATAACCAGGGGGGGAAAGGAGCTAGCTTGCTGTACTCACCCAAAGTTCACAATTTTACAGTGCATAAGTCAACAATTCTCCATGGGAACACCCCAGAAAGACCACTCTAATAAAGCACAGCTGTACTATGTTACCATGTGTGCTTTTAAATGTATTATTTGTGCTATTTGGAGACTTGGAAAAACAACAGGTCTCCCACCATTACAGATCTCCTGGAATAACACGTAATCCCACTATCTGGTTTGGAATCACAAAAGGACAACATCCTGTTATTGCCTTCCTGGGTCAAGCAACATCTACAAGTCAAAGGTTGCTATGGGAATACAACTTTGACACCTAGCCACATGGCTCCCATTGAAGTTAGGTTTAGAATTTGAATATCGCCCCACTCCCCTCTAGGTAGAGCGTCACAACCCTCCAACCTATAGGTATAGAGAAGGGGACGGATTTCAGGTGTAGATTGGCCTTATGCCAACCCCCAAAACTAGGTTTTAAAAAGAGAGACACAGCCTTTGTTTCTCTGGTTAACCCATCCTTCCTAATACCTTCACCTTTGCAACTTAAGTATACTGCAGGTGATTCTTAAGGAGTTCTCTGGAGTCGCGACCAGAGAGCCCACATGTGTTTGGCTGGACCATCCCGTGTGTTTGTAGAGTCCCTAAAGTTAGTACTTTTGTCCCCATTCTTGTTGCTGAGAAGAATTCCTTCTCGACTGGAACTCAGATAAGTATAAGCGTCACCCTTCTGTGTGTTACCTCATTGTCTGTTGAAGTTATTATTTTCATTACTATTTGTTTTCTGTACCTACTGTGTACTAAGGGAACTTGAGTGAATCTGTGAATGTATCTGTTTTTCGTGTGCTTGAGAACCACCTAGTAAAGGCAACATTTATTCATTAAACCTTAGTGTGTTGTCTCAATTCCTGGGAAATAGGAGCGTTCGTTCTGATTCTGCCCTCTGTATACACGGGTAAATTACTCACGCACGCCCACTGCCATACATAAGACAGAGTTGGGCCACGGAACAATCTCGTTAGGAGGAGTTCCAGTATCAACTAATGGTCCCAAAAGAATTAAAGGAACAACAGTACTTATCTTGCAGAGTTAACACCTATAACTATAGCTAACTATAGTGTGTGTGTGTGTGTGGGGAATCAGCTGGAGTGGAAATTTTGATCATAACACATCACATTGAGAAAAGGTCAACCATCATCTTTGCCAGCATCACTGTTACAAATAAAACTAAAGTTGGAGGGGGAAGGGTGTTGAGAAAGCAATCATCTATCTCCTGGCATCATGTGTGCAACCAAAGTAGGTGAGATGCTAGAGATCCATGAAGGAAAATCTCTGATTTTCTTTAAAAGTAACTGGATACGTGCATTGTGAGATTTGGTGGGACAGTTTTAACCAATGCTCCCTCTAATCTGCGGAGTCTTGTGAGCAAAAATTCTATTTTGTGAGCTACTGGCATTAAAGTTGTGAGCGAGTGACTTGGCTGCTGCATGAATTATTTTGTTCTTGAGCCATCCTTCCTGAGCTAAGACAAAAATGTCTTAATGAGCTGGAGGCTAAAAACCTGTGAGCTAGCTCACACTAACTCAGCTTAGAAGGAACACTGGTTTTAACTCCCCTCACAAAATCATTTTCTGGATAGAAACTGGAGATTTCAAGTAAAAAGGTAAAGGTTCCCTTGCTCGAATCCAACTCTAGGGGGTTGGGGTGCTCATCTCCGTTTCAAAGCCGAAGCGCTGTCCAAAGACGTTTCCGTGGTCATGTGGCCGGCATGACTAAACACCAAGGCTCACGGAACACTGTTACCTTCCCACCGAAGTGGTACCTATTTATCTACTTGCAATGTCTTGCTTTGGAACTGCTAGGTTGGCACCCGGGTCTCAAACTGCTAAACTACTGACCTTCCACAGCCTGCAGTTCAGCGTCGTAACCACTTGAGCCACCGCAGCTAGTAGATTTCAAGTAGTAGAAGAAAAATATAGGTTGCTTAAGAGATCAAGGCTTGGTCTGAACCAAGGCCAGGCACTCAAATTTTCTAAATACGAGCAAAGCTGGCCTCAGCTGCCCAGCATATCTCCTGTGTATTTACAGATGTTTCCCTTTCAAACATTACAGTGTTTACTTGACAACCTACGCACATACACACAAAAACTTGCTTACCATGCAGTGTGAGTCCTGATTCAAACTGCAATGTATGCAATTCAGTGATTTTCTCCCCTCTGCTTTTTGAAAGCCACACACACGCACACAAAACAGCACCGGAGCAGTGCCTGAGCGGAAGGGCGGGATGAGAGAGCCAGTGTAACCCTTTACACGCCTGTCGTTTTCCATCTCAAAAAAATTGCGAGAGGATATTCTGAAGTCCCTGCACTTCTCCCCCAAGTGAAAAAGAAGCCCAGACGGTCAACCTCGTTTCCTAGTGAATTCCCAAAACTTTATTTTCGGCCGCACGAAAAAAATCGCTGGAAGCTCCGAACGCAGAACGCCCAGTGCGAGTCTGGTTATTAGTTACAAACTGTTGCTTAAAAAAAAAAAAAAAAGGGCTATACACTTTTACAGGATTCCCATAAAGTGCCCTACAGCCTTAAGCAACCACACCGCCACCCATCGGGGAACGGCGAGCTCGGGCGAAAGAGGACGATTTGTGTCTTCAGAGTGGGGTTGATAACAGGTGTGGCTGCGACGCCGGGCCGTGAGAGACGACTCCAAAGCGAGATCCTGCCGCCACCAGCAGAAGGGAGCGAAGAAGGAAGGGCAAGAACACGCTGTCTCGGGTCCCGCCCCGCGGAGCCCCTCCCTCTGCCTCCTCCTTCGCAAGCAGCCAACTGAGTCGGTATGTGAGTTCAGAGAGCACGCGACGGCGGCGAGGTGAGTCCTTGGGCGCGCGGGAAGGAGGGGGGGGGTGTCCTTAAGAGGGGCGTCCGCCTTGCGCTGTAGTTGCCGCCGCCTCTTCTTTCACACGAGCAGTTCAGGGGGCCGCGGGGGCGGAGATCCCGAGTCTCGGGGTGGCTGGTGGTGCCTACGGAGCGTGGCAGACTTTTAGTTCAGCTGAAGGGTGAGCAAGGTGCCCGCTGCTCCCGTCTGCCAAGGGGGGGAGGATGGGTGGGGTTCACGAGCCCCGGCTCACCTGTTGCCCAAACTGAAGCTCTTGTGGGAAGAGTGCACCAAGGGCAGCATCTGTTGGACAGCAGGATGCCCTTCGTTGCTGCCTAGAGGGCAATCTGGCTTCCCAGCAAAAATGAGGCCAGCCAGGCGTGGGGGATATGTCTCTGCTTTGGAGTGATCCGACGATCCAGAGTTGGGTTGGGGACTGAATACATGGGGATTTATTTGGGGGGGGGGGGGGGAGAAATGGTTTCATATGAGTGTTTAGGCAGCTACCCTTGCCAGTGAGCTGGGCTTGGAGGTGGCTTTCCAGTGACATTTGCATCAAAGTGGATCTACTGCTTTGTGTTATATGAAGCCTGAAATCACTTTAATACCTCTTAACTCCTCCCAAGTTCTTGATAGCTGATTCAGACTGCATCCCTGGGCACACAGACCCGAGGCTAAGCCTCACTGAACTTAATGGCATTGACTTTTGAATATGCCTCTTTAGTGGTTCTGTAAAATCCTTGTGACTGACAGGAAGGAAATTTATTGGAAGAACAGACTTTTTTAAACAGAGGGTTCTAAGGGTTCCATTGATATGTGTTGGCCTCACTTGACAGCACACATGTGCCTAATGTTGTGTATCTATTAAGTGCCATCAAGTTGTTTCTGACTTATGGCGACCCTATAAATTAATGACCTATCATTAACACCCTTGCTCAGGTCTTGCAAACTGAGGGCTGTGGCATCCTTTATTGAGTCAATCGATCTCATATTGCATCTTCCTCTGTTCCTGCTGCCTTCAACTTTTCCTAGCATTATTGTCTTTTCCAGTGACTCTTGTCTTCTCAGAATGTGACCAAAGTAGGATAGCCTCAGTTTGGTCTGTACATATATAGCACTAGGGCCGTAGCCAGGATTTTGTAATTCAGGGGGCCTTTAAATAAGTCGGGGGGCACTGACATCACAAAATAATTTTAAAAAGAAGTGAAATGTTAAAAACTCACTTTTGTGGCGTTTGCACTCTGCTTGCCTATGCGGGGAAGCAAGCCGTGTTTGGGGAAGGGGTGCTGATGGGGAGTCTTCCAGGTGGCCCAGAGAGCCAGGGGCCTGGGGGCTACATGGAAGTCAGGGGGCCTTGGCAGATGCCCCACAGTAACTACGGGCCTGTATAGCACACTTCCATACATATGAGGCTCAGAACACTTTTTAGTCTTGCCACTTAATATGCAGCATGCAAAGTAGAGGAGAGTCAGGTTAAAATTGACTGTATATATGATTGTATACAAGTCTGCCTTTGAAATTATGAGTATGGAAAATGTAAACAGTGACTTAAACATCATTTGTAGAAATGGCTCAATTATTAACATAACTCACCTCCTTTTGTGGTATAAGAGTTAGGGGCTCTTTCCTTGGGGCTTTGATCCATGAGACAAACCCAGGCCCTCTCCTTAAGAAACTCGTGATTGACTCAGTTTGCGGAAGCAAAAGTATCAAATCAAAAGCAGTAGTCCTGGAATGGGCTGACTGGAGTAACAACACAACTGTGCATAGACATCGTTTCAAAGGGTAGCTGTGTCGGTCTGCAGTAGAACAAATAAATTAGAGTCCGGTATTACCTTAGAGACCAATGAGATTTTTAGGTATCCGATGAAGGGAGCTTTGATTCGCAAAAGCTTATGCCCTGAAAGTCTTGTCTGTCTCTTTAAGTGCTACTGAACTGGGATCTGTTGGTGCATAAGTATGTGATTATTTTGTGTATTTCAAGCACTATCTATTCACAATGTCATTTGCTCATATATTTCTATTGGCCATGTATTGTCTATCTCATTGGTGTGAGGAGATGGAGCTCAGGAGTGCTGCAGGGGTTAGAAGGAAAGCCATAGCATGGGGTGGTCTTTCCTCTACTGGCTGTAGTGGCTATAGAAACGCTATCTAGGAGAGGCCATGGAGAAGTATGCCATGATAAAACTTCTGCTTTAAAATGTGAGGCTGCTCACCTGGTAGTCTGCTTGATTTTGTTTCTTTTGAATTTTAGGTACATGCAGAACTGGATTACAAGGTACAGGAGTGTTGTGTAGCCCAAACCTGTATCTAGTCTAGATTGCTTCTGTTTTGTGTGTTATGTTTGTTGCTCCCAATAATACAGAACCAAAGCAGTTAACCCATTACTAAAACAAAATGCTGTCTTTCCTAAGTACAAATGAATACAAGAAATCTGCACATTTGGGGGGTTTGCTACAGCATAAACCACATGGTTTATGTCAACTGTGACTCCAGTACACAATCTATGATTTATTTAATTACTTTATTTAATTTTTTTCACCCCATCTTATCCTTCACTTCAGATAGTTTACATAATTAAAAACAGGATTAAAAACGCAATTACAACATAAATTACATTGCCATGCAGGCCGGATTGCTGTCTGCTGAAAGTCTTTAGAGATGAAATTAATATTTTATTACCTAGTAGAGCAGCTTTAAATATTACGCATGGTGATTTTAAGAATTGTTCTCCTGTCAAATGCTCAAGAACATTAAAATGCAAACTTTGGCCTTTTTATTGCTGAAACACTTTTCATTTGTGTCCTCTCTCCCTCTGTTTTAGCTGTAATGCAATGACCAGCCATTCTAGATGCACTGCATATTTATGCAGAACTGAAGAACTGAGGTAGCCCCTTCTGAAACCTGGACTCTGAGTTGTTCTTCCTTCCTCTAGTATGGGTACATCGTTTCTGCTTTGTCTTATGCTGGCATTGCTGCCTGTAAGAGCTCTTGGGAACACTTGGCACTGCCCACGTATTCCTTATAACTTGACCAGAGATTATACAGTGCAATATCACCTGCCTACATTCACTGCTGAGGGTGACATCCAGAACATAGTCACGTATGAGCCTGCTGGTGCAATCTTTGTTGCCATTCGGAACAAGATCTACATGCTGAACTCAAAGCTGGCAATTCTCTCTACCATAGCAACTGGTCCTTGGGGTAGTGGCCAGTGCAAGATCTGTACCAAGTGCCAACTGAAAGGGCCAATGGATTTTGAAGACACAGATAACAAAGTTTTGGTGATGGATCCATTTGAACCATGGCTTTACAGTTGTGGGTCTTCTCAGCATGGAGTCTGCTTCCTGCATGAGATTGAAATACAGGGCGACATTACTTTCATTAAAGAAACTAAATGCTTGTATTCATCCCAATTTAATAAGCCTTCTGAGTGTCCAGATTGTATTGCCAGTGCCTTGGGCACCAGAACTGTAGTTGTTGATAAAGGTGCGTCATACTTCTATGTTGCCTCTACCATCAGCAGGAGCATAGCTGAGACATACAGCCCCAAATCAGTGTCTATACGAAGACTGAAGAGTACCACAGAAGGATTCGACCATTCTTTCCATTACTTAACTGTCCTGCCTGAGTATCAAGACACATACCCCATTGACTATGTGTATTCCTTTAATGACCAGCACTTTGTGTATTTCCTGACAGTCCAAAGAGAAAACCCCAGCTCCAGATCGTACCACACCAGGATAGTGCGGCTAAACATTGAGGATAATGATTTGCAGAACTACCGTGAGCTGAACCTGGATTGCCGCTTCGAATACAAGCGGAGGCGGAAGAGGGGACTTTCAGTGAGCCCAAGGGATGTAGCTTTTAATGTCCTGCAGGCAGCTCACGCAACCAAGCCAGGCTCAAAGCTGGCCCAAGAGATCAGTGCCAGTGAAACAGATCTGGTTCTCTTTGGTGTGTTTGCTGAAAGCCATGTAGAGAGCATGATGCCACAGAAGAATTCTGCTGTTTGTGCTTTCCCCATGAGCATGATCAACCAGGCTATTGATGAGGGGATGAACAAATGCTGCAGTTCGAATATCCATGGCAAGATGCTACGAGGACTGACGTTTTACCAGGATACTGAGTACTGCCCACATAATGTGAGTTCCCAGCAAATATTGCCCATCTTATGTACATTTAGGAGCATGGTTGTGATTTCAGAGGCGTATCTTATAGCTGATAAAGGTAGTTTATTATTAATCATGTATTTTAGAGAATGTTTGACTGTACAAAGTGCTTACAGGCTTCTAGTCCTTTTCACAGCAAACCTTTGAGGTAGATTATTCCTTTTATAAAGGTGGAAAAGCCACAAGAGCATGGCAGGGATCT